AGGTCTTCTCAGGGAGGAGGGAGGAGATGCAGGGACCCAGTTATCATCAGTAATAGTAGTTGCCTCTCCCTTATTGCCTCCTTTGTGTTCTGCCCTGTACTGAGCCCACTGATACCCATTTTGTAGATGAAGAAACAGGACTGAAGGAGTTTGCCTAAGGTCATAGATGGCCACTGAGTAGTTACACAGGTTTTCTATGGGGTGAAAATAAGGGTTGAAATCAGTCCATCCCTCCACTTGCCATGTTCTGGACTTGGAAATAAGTTTCATCGATCTGGGGGAGGAGGTACGTTTTTCTAGTCAAACTTCTTGCCATCCTCCCACCCGGAAAGGGTGTGTCTTACACTACCCTCCAAGGTGCTCTGCTGCTAACAATAACCTTGAAGAGGTCCCACACAGCTAGTGGGAAAGACAACGTTGGACTAGAGTCTGTTCTTATTTATTTATTTATTTATTTAATTCGTTAGTTAGTTAGTTATTTGACAGAGATCACAAGTAGGCAGAGAGGCAGGCAGGGAGAGAGGAAGAGAGGCAGGCTCCCCTCTGAACAGAGAGCCCAATGCGGGGCTCAGTCCCCGGGTCCTGGGATCATGACCTGAGCCGAAGGCAGAGGCTTTAACTCACTGAGCCACCCAAGTGCCCCTAGAGTGTCTGTTCTTAACATTCAGCTCTCAGTATAGCTGTGGGCTGGGGCAGGAATGAGAGTCCGTGACCTTGCTTCCCACAGGGCCTCTCTGTGCTCATTGTGGCCATCCACATCCTGGAGCTGCTCATTGATGAGGCTGCCATGCCCCGGGGCATGCAGGTACTGGACTGTGTATCTTTTGGGGAGTGCTTAAGAAAGGCTGGGGTGGGAGACAGAAGCTGAGATCGGAGGGAAGGCTGGGTGCTGGGTGCTGGGTGGTGGGTGGTACTCCTGGCAGGGAGTACTCCATAGTGGTGCCACTCTCTCTCAGGATGCCTCCCTGGGCCAGGTCTCCTTCTCCAAGCTGGGCTCCTTTGGTGCCGTCATTCAGGTTATACTCATCTTGTATCCTTCTGGAAACCCACCATTGCCTCTGTTCACTGAACCTGTCTCCTGGGATTGTGGTGGGGAGGTGTGGTGGGAATGATGGGGAAGGGGGCAAGTCTTTACCCACCTTACAGTTCAGGAAGAAGGAAAAAAAGACTTTATTTGAAAGGAAGGTTAGGGGAGAGGTCCATTCCCTTTGAGATGAGGCATTCATCCTTAGGGCCTGGTCAGTTCTTCCTTAACCTCGTGGCAGTTACCTGATGGTATCCTCAGTTGTGGGATTCTACAGCTCTCCATTCTTCCGGAGCCTGCGGCCCAGATGGCACGACACAGCCATGACACAGGTAGCTAGGCGGGAATAAAGGAAGCCTCTTGAGGGTGTGCATGGGTGCGAGTTACTGACAGCTCTGCTACCCTCACCTCCCCTTTCCTTACTCCCACCTAGATAATTGGGAACTGTGTCTGTCTCCTGGTCCTAAGCTCAGCGCTTCCTGTCTTTTCTCGAACCCTGGGTAAGTAGCAAGAGGAGGTAAGGGAATTGGCTTTTCTTGAGTACCTACTGGTGCTAAGCATACATTTTATATATATGCTCTCTCTAATTCCCACAACAACCTATGAGGAGATATTACCCCCATTATAGAGATGGAGAAATTGAGGCTCCGTAAAATGCCTGTGTTAAGCTTCAGAATAGTGTTGCTATAAAGCTCATATCTTCCCATTAGCTATATCCCACAGCCTCCCCTGTTTATTTCCAATTTTTTGGTGGAGAAGCACCATTTTCCCCCAAATCTTCCTGTGAGCTGGATCCTTGATAAACATTCTCATCTTCTAGAGACAAAAAACAGGGAAGCTGATCAATTTACCTAGCTATACAGCTCAAGTCAGGCTAGAACCCTTGTCTCTTAAACACCAGTCCAGTGCTTTTTCTGCACACTGGGACATGAACAACACACTCAGTCCTTCTCCCACATTCAGAGCTATCATCTAGAATTTCCTGGTAAAAATGTTCAAAAGTTCAAAAGTAACAGTTCCCCCTGGGGTAGTATGGGAGTTCTCCCTTCACCACATCATGAACCACATTTCCTAAATGATTTAGTATTTAATCAGTTTTGTTTGGTTCTTTTCTGTTCATACTGTCTCCACTGTACCATTGTATTTATGCCATGGGTTTTCAGTAGGAAACTAGGCTTATGGGTCCACTCTAGATTGGATGCAGGTAAGAATATTTTTTAAGTGGGGGATGGCCCCAAAATTTGGACTTGTGATAACATTATTATGATGATTAAGGACTCAAGTGTTAGAATAGTGCCTGGCACATACTGTGCTTTGTATGTGTGTTTCATTTAATTCTCACAGTTCCATTATTTTCCCTACTTTATAGTCAAAGAAACTGAGGCACAGAAATTTATGGAATCTGCTGCAGATCACACAATCAGTTAGGGGTGGAGTTTTATCTGAACCAGACCAGCCTGATCTGAGTCAAAGCTCTTTAGCCTCTACACAGGGTGACCAGCTTTTAGGTTTCTGGCCCAGGAACAAGTGGAGGGCCCTGGTTGCTCTTCGGGACACATGGTGCCAGAGAGGGTCCCACTGGAGAAGATGACAAACTCTGGAAGGGAAGTTGGAGCAAGCCTAGCTGCTGACACTTTTTCTTCAACAGCCATAACTCCCTCAGAACAAGTTGGGAAGGAGGAATGAATTAATATATAGGAGAGGCCAGCCTGTCAGTTGCAGTGTTGAGATGTGGCCACTAGGAGGCAGCAGAAAACGGGGCTCTGAGCCAAGTTGGAGCTGGGGAGCCCATTCCCATACCGGCCTTTGTACTTCAGGGCTCACTCGCTTTGACCTGCTGGGTGACTTTGGACGCTTCAACTGGCTGGGCAATTTCTACATCGTGTTCCTCTACAACGCAGCCTTCGCAGGCCTCACCACTCTCTGTCTGGTGAAGACCTTTACCGCAGCTGTGCGGGCAGAGCTGATCCGGGCCTTTGGTGAGAGAGAGTGGGTGCGCAGGCTAATGGGGTGGTTGTGAGGTGGGGCCCTCTGGAACTGGGGTCATCCAAGCAGGAGAGGTGGCATGCTGTCTGCTTTGTTTGTTACATACCTCATATACCCCTTCTGTGGCTTGGTTGTCTTATTCCCTGAGACTGGGCCTATGCCCTGCTTTTGACTGCCCACCCTCCCTCCTCTCCAGGGCTGGACAGATTGCCGTTGCCTGTCTCCGGTTTTCCCCGGGCATCTCAGAAGAGCCAGCACCAATGACTTCCAGCTGGGGGGTGGGAGGGAGAAAACTGGACACTGCCATCTGCTGCCCAGGCCTGGAGGGGTGCCCAAGGGTGGGTGGACCTCAGAACCTGGAATCTGAGAGGGTGGTAGAGGGGAGCTGAGCTGTCTGCACTGTTGCATAATCTGAGCCAGAGTTTGGGACCAGGCCCCCCTGCTTTTCCAAATGTAACTGAGGGCCTCAGCATGGGGTGGGGCTGGGTGACTGGGTCTGGCTCCTGGTCCCAAATCTGTTTACACATCAATCTGCCTCACTGCTGTTCAGGGCCATGCCCGTAGCCATGTTTACATTATTTGATGTGCAATAGGGTGGGGTGGGGACAGGGGAGAAACTGAGCTGGGGGCAGACTTGGGAGGCAGCTTGTCTCCCTTGCCTCTGGCCCAGCAGAGCCTAAGCACTGTGCTATCCTTTAGGGGCTTTGGACCATCAGAGAGACAAGGGTGTAGGGAAGAAGAGACCACAACCATCAGCAATAAAGTTGATCCCAGGGTTTGCTTTGGTTTTTTAAAGGGCCTGTCTCTGTGTCTGTTGAACAGCCTTATTCCCACCAATTCTGAGTCTACCAGCTGAGAAGAACAGAGAGATCCTGCCTACCATCCTTTCCCCTTTCCTCCATCTACATTCTTAGTACCTTTTAGGAACTTGGGTCTAGTATTAGGTCATACAATTAGGCAGTGAGAACCTCCTCCTCCTTTAGCCTTGCTTAAAGCTGGCTGGTCCCCTGACTCTTGTACTCACAGCTTGTTTCTGTGCTTTGGTTATTGGCGGTAAGTGGGCATGGCTGTAGGAATGGGATAACTTCTCCCTCTATGCACACAGCATCCTCAGCCCTTTCCTCCCTGACTTGGGTTGGACACAAAGTAAAAGAAGGCTGGCTGACATGGGTTTGTAGTTCCCAGAAAATAACATAACTCCGTCTTTCCAGAGGCTGTCAGTGCCTAGAAGATTGTGTGAGCTGTGCTGGGGGGGCAAGGACAAAGTTTCTGCTCAAGAGGATACAGATTTGTGTATTGTGCAACTTCTGGAGGGGTATCGTTCACCTTGTAGTCTTATATACAGTTGCTATGACTCTTTTCTTGGAGATGGCAGTTAGGTGTCTTGAGGAAGGATCACTTTTTTCTAATGTACACAAAGTTGCTCTAAGTGCTAGCCATGGAGCTGGGGGGTGGGTATTAAACAGCATAAAAGTGTGGATGCTACAAATACTTAGCTGAGCACCTACTATAGGCCAGGCACTTAGCCGTGGGGATTCATGATAAACAGTTTCGTATTTAAGAATTGCTTTGTATAGTAAGGGTGACATAATTCTAACACCAGGATGGTTGGCAGTTAATTCCTGGTTCTCAGGGAAACAGCTGGGCAGTGTCAGGACATCAGGGAAGCCTTCTTAGAGAAAGTGATTTCTTTTTTTAAGATTTTATTTATTTATTTGACAGCACAAGCAGGAGGAGCAGCAGGCAGAGAGAGGGAGAAGCAGGCCCGACGTGGAGTAGGGAGCCTAATCTATGGCTCGATCCCAGGACCCTGGGATCATGACCTGAGCTGAAGGCAGACATTTAACTGACTGAGCCCACCCAGGCCCCCTGAGAAAGTGATTTTTTTTTTCTAAAGATAGATAGATAGATTGATTGATTGATTTGACACAGAGAGAGAGACCGCAAGAGAAGGGAACACAAGCAGGGGGAGTGGGAGAGGGAGAAGCAGGCCTCCCACTGAGCAGGGAGCCCGATGTGGGGCTCCATCCCAGGACCTGGGACTGTGACCCAAGCCAAAGGCAGAAGCCTCTGAACAATAGTGAATTGGTGGGTAAAGTATTGCAGGCTCCAGGCCTCTGAGATGAGACCTGAGTGGTTGGAAGCAGAGCCCCAGGAGGTCCAGAGGGAGAAAGCTAGAGAGGTGCCTAAATGGAAGGTGAAGGGAAGAGCCCCTTAGCTTGTTAAGACTATGACCTTAAGTACCCTCTGCCCTCCAGAATCTTCCAGTTGACAGGTTATACATTTGAAAAGAAGTAGCCATTGGATGTCTGGCAAGGACAAGACAGGGGGCAGACGTTTGAAGTCCAGAACCAAATTATAACTACAGAGAGCTGTCCCTGATTCTGGGGGAAGCTCTCAGCAGAAGGCTGCAAAGTTACCAGAGAAAATGGTCCACTGGTACCCACCCCTTCCAGTTCTGGTTACTACTGCCAAAGAGAGTTGAAAGTGGGGGAGGCTTTGGGAGGACCACAGAGAAGAAAATTTCTGGTTGTACGCCCAAAGGGATTGGCTAACCCTGGGTGGAAACTGGAACCCATACTTCCTGAAGGAGAGCAGAGGACAATGGCCTGCCAGGATAGGCTTTGGGAGAGTAAAGATCCAATTCAAGTATCAGAGGAGGGTGGTTTGGTGCCAAGCTTAGGCTTGGAAGTAGAAGGATGCTTATCCAGGCAGCTAAGGACTGAAAAGCTACTAGGATTTCTTAGACAGGTGCCTGCCTAGTTTCCAGGATGGAACACACTTCAGTCGTGAAATGGACCAGCGGTCACCAGCTAGAGCCCCCGCCCCGGTGGGAGGGGGCGGGACGGTCCTGGGAGAAGGGCGGGGGGCGGGGCCAGGGGCCACTTAAGGCGGAGTCGGGTTCTGGCAGCGCAGGAGCCGGGCAGCAGAGCCAGGCTGGGCTGGCACTCACCCACGACCCCCCTTCCCTGCTATGATGGCCCGTCAGTAGCAGGTTCCAGACCCCCCGGGAGCATGTAGGCTGAGCTATCGGTAGCCAGGTGCGCAGAGCCACAAGAGCTCCAGGGCACTCTGGGGGCAGCTCTGCCTGCTGCACTCTCTGGTGCCTGGGGAAATGCCCAACTGACGGGCGAGCTGGTGAGGACAAGAACGTACCCTTTGGCCCGAGTCCTCTGCATCCATGGCGCTGCCAGCCAGGCTGGTGCCCCTGTGCTGCTTGGCACTTTTGGCGCTGCCCGCCCAGAGCTGCGGGCCGGGCCGGGGGCCGGTTGGCCGGCGCCGCTACGTGCGCAAGCAGCTGGTGCCGTTGCTCTACAAGCAATTTGTGCCCAGCGTGCCGGAGCGGACCCTGGGCGCCAGTGGGCCTGCCGAGGGGAGAGTGGCAAGGGGCTCTGAGCGCTTCCGGGATCTGGTCCCCAACTACAACCCCGACATCATCTTCAAGGATGAGGAGAATAGTGGTGCAGACCGCCTGATGACCGAGGTAAGGAGGACCTCTCCCCACCTGCGCCAGGGCATTGCCAACTCCTGTGGCAGCCTGGGAGGGTAAGCTGGGCTTCATCTATAGACACCTTAATTCCAAAGATCTCCTCTCCCTACCTTTCCACCATCCCTCTCCCCCCAACCAAAAACAAAAAAATAAAAAAATAAAAATAAAAACCCTAAACCTGTGCTCACTGGGCTCAGTGATAGGAGAGATTCCAACGGGGAGAAGCTGGAATGGGGAGGGGAGGAGGGACTAGTGAGAGTGAAGCTGGGAGAGACAGCGAGGGCGGGGAAAAGAGGATGGCGGCAGGCGAGACGGGAAATGGCTGAGGCGTGGACCGGGGGTCAGCTACCGAGCCAGGCAGGAAGGGCTGGGGTGAGCAGGGGGCCAGGAGCTGGCGAGGCAGCGGACAGAAAGCTCTACCCTTAGCCTGGCTCCTGACCTGATTGTGGAAAAGATCTGTGGGCTAAAGAGATTGAAGGAGGCTGGGAAAGAGGTGGCCAAGGGTTAGGTCACCAGGCCATGTACCTGAGAAGGGGCCGGGCAGGAATTGTCTTCAGCATGGGGGTGGGGGAGATCCTAGAACCAAGGCAAGACTATTCTAGAGTCTAAATGACTGTTTTGGGTGAAAAGTCGTTCTCAGTGGGAAAAACAGATGGGCCCACCTGAGAATCAAAGTGTTCCCACGTCCCTCAAGTTCAGCTTAGCTCAGAGGTTTTCCTTGGAATTAAATTCAACTAGCATGTATTGAGCATCTACGGCAACTGGAACCCTGCTGACCTAGGATGAGGTGAGCAATGCTTTGGGAGTGAAGGACCACCTCTGGCTATTGATCACAAATGTCAGACCTGGAAGGAAACTTGGAAATCACATTCTTCCACCTCCTTGCTTCAATTTTGCGGCTGAGAGCTGGGCCCCAAGAGGAAAAGCGATTTAATCAAAGTCTTAAAACTAATTAGTAGCATGGCTGGGACTAGAATTCAGGACTCCTGATTCTAAGTCTATACACTTTCCATTACACCACCTAATTGTGTATGGAGTGGAGAGGTGGGGGGAGAGGGAGGGGTACGGATTTCCTCTGATTAATTGCCATAGCTTTCCAGGTTACTTTGTTAGGAAAACCTGTCCAGGGGAGAAAGAATTCCTTCTACTACTACTCAGAGATTGGGAAGGGGACACTCCTTCCCTCCTTGGCCATGGAATATTGTGGCCCTTTTCCCTGGCTGCCACCTGCAGCAGAGGGGCCAGAACAAGGGACAGGCCTTGGAGGGGCTCTGACAAGGCCTGGGAACCCCTCCGTCCTGCTTATCTCCCACACCCTGGCTGCAAAAGGCCTCCATTGAATTGGCTCTGCACTGGGCTGCTGCCCCCGCAGGTCAAGGCCTCAGGGCCTCCTTAGGGGACAAAACGACAAAAAGTTGGATGAAGTTACCACTTTTCCTGTCTTCCCCTCCCCTGCTCTCCAACCCTGCGGAGGTGTAGAAAACGCGGGAAGGAGGGAAATGCCCCTCTGGCACTTAGGAGAAAACCAAGTCTGAGGTGAGAGGTCGGAGCGGGGAGAAGAAAAGGAAACTGTCCTCTCTGCGCCTCCTCCCGCCGCGTCCGTGGTATGGTGCGCGCCAAGGTCTCCGGCTCCCCGACTAGAGCTGCCCAGATAACCGCGGTCTCACTCCCCCGGGTTCAGGCTTCCAGCCCGCTGCTTTTCCTCCTCTCCACTCCCACCCTGCAGGGGGCCCCCCAGTTCCGCGCTAGGGCAGCTCCCATTAATCTCAGGTGCTACTCCCACGCCTTTCTGGGCTGCATCTGGAACAGAGATGGAGAGACGGGGACTCAGAGCTGGTAGAGCCTGAGCTGGAATTGGGAGGGCTGGTCGCACTGGGGGTGGGGGCCCCGGCGGGCGGGAGCAGGCATGGGGGGCGCGGCTTTCTGCCCTTTCCTCTCCCGGAGCCGGGGCGGCTGAAAAGCGCCTTTGTGGATGGAGCTGCTGAGTCCGCTTCTCCCGGCGCGTCCCCGTCCTCGGCCCGGGATTCTCGCTCGGTTAAGTCATCCCGGAGAATGGCCATTGTACTTCGCGCAGCCCCCGCCATCCAAACCCTTTTTCCAGTAGCATTGATCCCGCACGGCTACGCTTTGGGCACCTCTGTGGGGGGTACTCGCACCACGAAGGGGTTAATGCTAGGGGCCGAAAGGAGGAGGAGGAGGAAGGAAGGAAGGAAGCGATGCCCGGTGCCAGGGAAGGCAACGAAACAAAAGATGAATCAGGCGGAGGGAGGGCAGCCGGGGCTTGGGGCGGGGGCCAGGCCCAAACAGGGGCTCCTCTCGGGGAGCCAGGCATCTCAACCCTCCCTGACAGAGCTTCCACCCGCGCTTTCAACTCCTGCCCTCTCCCAGGTTGAGCCCAGATCGCATAACGAGTGAGGGGCAGGGGTCCAAAGTAGGGAAAGAGTTAGGTACCGGAGCCCTCTCAATCTCTGAGATGACCCCACAGTTCTCCCACAATGCTCTGAAACGGGAGTGGGTATTGACGACGCCACCTCTTCGGGTTCTCACTTCTCCAGGACACTAAAAAGCTGGGAGGAAGTGGTGTGGGGCCAGGAAAACAAAGAAGAATTGGCCCTCCCTTTCAGGTCCCTTTTGCCCCTGCGGTGGTCGTGGTAGTGAGGAGACTGACTCTTTGATTCCCCGCCAGCGCTGTAAGGAGCGGGTGAACGCGCTGGCCATTGCCGTGATGAATATGTGGCCCGGAGTGCGCCTGCGGGTGACCGAGGGCTGGGACGAGGACGGCCACCATGCTCAGGACTCTCTCCACTACGAAGGTCGTGCCTTGGACATCACCACGTCTGACCGCGACCGCAATAAGTATGGGTTGCTGGCGCGCCTGGCAGTGGAAGCCGGCTTCGACTGGGTCTACTACGAATCCCGCAACCACGTCCACGTGTCGGTCAAAGCCGGTACAGTAGGGGGTGGGTGGTGAAGTCCGCCCAAAGGGGACTCTTTCCGGGAAACTGAGGCTGCGTAGCTCTGGTGCGACCTCAGGGGAGACCAAGTGGCCGTTAGTGTTGTAAACCATCCTTGTATCTCTGCCCATGTTGGGGCCAGATCCGTGAGAAATTACATATCCCAGGACTGGCGAGGTCTGCTCTGGGCTTGACCCACATCTTTGAGAATCCGTACCAACATCCCGGAACCTCCGGTCTTGATTCAATCATCGCTGTGCTTGTTCCTTGCAGATAACTCCCTGGCCGTCAGGGCAGGCGGCTGCTTTCCGGGAAATGCCACCGTGCGCCTGCGGAGCGGCGAGCGGAAGGGGCTTCGAGAACTGCACCGCGGTGACTGGGTGTTGGCGGCAGACGCGGCAGGCCGGGTGGTGCCCACGCCCGTTCTGCTCTTCCTGGACCGGGACTTGCAGCGCCGTGCCTCCTTCGTGGCTGTGGAGACCGAGCGGCCCCCGCGCAAGCTGTTGCTCACGCCCTGGCACCTGGTGTTCGCTGCTCGAGGGCCCGCGCCCGCGCCGGGCGACTTTGCGCCGGTGTTCGCGCGCCGGCTGCGCGCGGGGGACTCGGTGCTGGCGCCCGGCGGGGACGCGCTTCGGCCGGCGCGCGTGGCCCGCGTGGCGCGCGAGGAAGCCGTGGGCGTGTTCGCGCCACTCACAGCACACGGGACGCTGCTGGTCAACGACGTCCTGGCCTCGTGCTACGCGGTTCTAGAGAGTCACCAGTGGGCACACCGCGCCTTCGCTCCTTTGCGCCTGCTGCACGCGCTGGGGGCGCTGCTTCCGGGCGGGGCAGTCCAGCCCACCGGCATGCACTGGTACTCTCGGTTCCTCTATCGCTTGGCGGAGGAGCTACTGGGCTGAATGCGTCCGACGTAGAAACCTCGAGGCGCCTGCGGAAACCCGGCCGTGTGGGCTGAGATCTGGGGGTGTGGGCAGCAGAGGATGCTGACTCGGGAAGGCAGGGAGGAGGGGATAGGGAGAAAAATGGACGCGAGACCGGACTGCTTGGTTTAGGGGCAACCTCCATCGGAGCGGAGAGGAGATCCCCGGTCATAGGTAGTTGGGGTCGATGGTGGATATTCCTTGAAGAGGACTGTTTCACCTCTTCTTCCCGACTGCCTCAGCCCCAACCAATTATTTTATTTTATTTTCTATTTATAAATTGTAATATAATGATCTGCTTGCCCCGCCTGGCAAGGTGAGGGTCCAGGGCACGGCGTTAACACTGTTTGACACAGCCAGCCAATCTGATGTCTGACATTTTCCTACAGGTGGCCTAATAAAGGGAAGGCTTGCAGGAGCTTATTGGAAAATATCTCTGTTCAGAGGGGGATTCACCTAGAGAGGAGGGGAGAAGGGGACCAACTCTGAGTCAATACCTTACTTCCCGACTCCTCCCTCCTTGCCCAGCAGGTCTTCCTGCCTGCTTCCTCCCATCGGAGGGGGCGTCCCAATTGATCAGCAAAGAGAGCAGAGAGTCGTGTGCTTTTCTAGGCTGCTGGTCCCTTCTCCCACCCAGAGAGGACCAGCATTCTGTTTGCATGCTTGCATACCGAATGTTGGAGGGGCCAGGGGTGTTGAAGGAGCAAGAGGGTCTGCACATGTCCTTTCTCATTTACAGAGGCTCCAGCGAGGTCACAGGCTATTGCATTACTGATACTCAGAGAATTCTGGCCCATGATTGGTAGCCTGCAGTCTTGGTCCCTCCCTGAAGACCCTGGATCAGGTGCCAGGGTCTGAATGGGGGTGATGTTTTATTCTGGGATGTCACTGGACCAACTGGTGATCCATGGGAATCCCCAGTTAATTTATAACTGATAGTCCCCACACACTCTTGGTCAAGAGAAAGAATGGGATCAGGGGGCTGGAATCTATCTCTCCTGAATGGCTGGGGGCAGAGAACAGCTTCAAGCCCTGGTGTGTGTGTTTAGGGGAAGATAGGGAGGCTCTCCAAGCAAGGAGCATATAGGCATTACAACTAGAACCCTCTTTTTTTAAAATTATTTTATTTATTTATTTGACAGACAGAGATCACAAGTAGGCAGAGAGGCAGGCAGAGAGAGAGGAGGAAGCAGGCTCCCCACGGAGCGGAGAGCCCGATGTGGGGCTAGATCCCAGGACCCTGGAATCATGACCCGAGCCGAAGGCAGAGGCTTTAACCCACTGAGCCACCCAGGCACCCCTGGAACCCTCTTCTTGATCGCCTGTCCTAGTTGTTGTTTATACTGGCTTCCTCCACCCCACACCCCACCCCTCCTCTTTCCTCTCCTCTTCTCCTGGCTCTGCTTCCCCGGGCTGGGTATTCTGAGAACCTTCAGGTTCCAATGCAGTAGATAGGCAGGAACTCAGTCAGGTGCTCCTGAGCCAGAATGGAAGCTCGATGGGGGGTGCCTGGGTGGGTTAAGCCTCTGCCTTCCGCTCATGTCATGATCTCAGGGTCCTGGGATCGAGTACCTCATTGGGCTCTCTGCTCCGCAGGGAGCCTGCTTCCCCCCTTCTCTCTCTGCCTGCCTCTCTGCCTACTTGTGATCTCTGTCTGTCAAATAAATAAATAAAATCTTAGAAAAAAAAAGAATGGAAGCTCAGAGGAAGTTGGACTTCAGTAGAAGGGGAATGTCTGGGTTCAGGGGAGAGAAGTTTGGTGGTGAAACCAAGGAGCCAGTCCTGGTCTGTAGCAGCTGTGCGGTTTCAGTCTACAGGGTCCCTGCTATACACCGCCCTCTGGTGGCCGTCAATATTAGTTCTTTTCTAGACCAAAGAAGAGAGAACTACAGACTGCAGGGATGAGTGGACTAGACCTGCGCAGAGGAGCCTTGTCTCAGGAGGCCTGAGATGGTGGGTGGGGCTTGGTAAGCTGCCAGGGCTGAGCCACAGGTGTCAAGAGCTGGTAAGGAGCCCACACGCCTCTCCTTGTGAAAACCCGTCCGAGCCTGGCATTTTTGCATCCCTCCTACCTGGTTTACCTTTATGGCTCCCAGAAACTGGAGGTATACTTGTAGCCAGATTCTGTGCATGTCCAAGTTGCCACCTCATCTCCCTCACCTTGTGACCCTTGAGTTCAATGTCTAGAGACAAAGCCATACTTAGGCTGCCAGGAAGTGCTTGATAAAGGCAACAGGAAGCGGAGTAAGTTTACCTTACCTTTAGTGTCCACCCACCCACCATTTTCTTCTATCCCTACCAGGTACCTGTTGCCACCTCCCACCCCTCTTCTGATCTCACAGTCCAAGCTGTGGATCTTTCCCAGAGCATGGCCTGAAAGTCAGGCAGACCTGCAGATCTGATGCCACCCCAGAAGGACTGTTGACAAGATCAGTGTCTGTGCCCAGTGTGGACAAGGCACCCGGTCAAGGTTTTCTACACTCTGCTCCCATTTCTCACTGCCTTTGCTGTTTTCTGCTGCTTGTGTGCTTCTCTCCTCATCACTCGACTAGAAGCAGGATTTATCCATGGTTCCCAAATATTTGGGGGGTGTTGCCCCCATAATTGTTTGATTTCATAACACTCCTTCAGAAGGTGCTGTGTGAAAGAGTTGGGCTTGCTTTAGAACTAAAGAATAATTAAAAGTGATCTTGTTTTGAGAATTTACAGAGTATTTTGTGATAATCTCAGCAAGACCTCTCTGTGTACTGGGAAACCAGACTTGAGAACCGCCAGTTCAAGGTTCAGTTGACCTTTTTAACCCCTCAAAATCCAGACTCCACCCCCCCCCCAGCCTCTCTTCAAGCCGGATTTACTGGACATCTACAGTGTAGCGCTGCATTAGGCATGAAAAACACACAAAATATTAAGAAAGAGCTCCCTCTGGGAGGAAAGGTATAAGATGTTTAACTACCAAAACAACATTGTTACTTAATCAGGGTGAACTGAATGGGTGGAAAAGTGTCATATTAGTACAGAGAAAGCCTTGTGGAAAAAGTAGGGCCTGGCTAGGATGTTGAGGCATGTAGGTGGAGGAGACCAGAGAGGGCATTCCAGGCAGAAGTAATGACATGAACAGGCACTTGGAATCTGGAATCTAGCAAGCTGGCTAAAGTGGGAGATCTGGGAGTGTAACTATATGTAGCTCATGTTTCTTGAGAATTTACTACATGTCAGACCCTGTGCTAGCTCTTTCCATGCATTCTCATTTCCTCCTTACGATAACCCTGTGGGACTGTATTACAGAAGAGGGCACCGAGGCAAAGACAGGTTTAAGTCACTGGCTCAAGTTACTGCAGCTAGTAAGTGGGAGACCTGGAGCAGGAATAACAAGAAATAGGACTGCCTTGATGGAAAAGACCACATCTGAGAGGGAGGGCCTTAAGAAGTTTTTGACTCGGTGCATCTGGGTGGCTCGGTCGGTTAAGCGTCTGATTCTTGGTTTTGGGGCTCAGGTCATGATCTCAGGGTTGCGGGATTGGGCCCCATGTCGGGCTCTGAGCTCAGCGGGGAGTTTGCTGAAGATTCTCTCCCTCTCCCTCTGCCTCTCACTTGCTCTAAAATAAATAAACAAATAAAAAGTTTTGGACTCTCCTTCCCTTCACTGAGTCACTAGTAAGTCCTAGCTTTTTGACAGCTATTTCTCATTTTCATTGGCTCTTCTTTCTCCTGCCTGGATCACTGCCTTCCTTAACTGAAGTTATCTAGCCAATAAAGGAAATCCTGCAGATTAGAGGAGAAGGGAGACCACATTTTGTTATGGATTAAAGAGATGCCTCCCCCTCCAAATTCACACGGGCAAACCCTAATGCCTGTGTGACTTTTTTTTTTTAAGATTTTATTTATTTGCAGAGATCACAAGTAGGCAGAGAGGCAGGCAGAGAGAGAAGGGGGGAAGCAGGCTCCCCACTGAGCAGGGAGCCTGATGTGGGGCTTGATCCCAGGACCCTGAGACCATGACCTGAGCTGAAGCAGAGGCTTAACCCACTGAGCCACTCAGGTGCCCCTGGGTGACTGTTTTGGGAGGTGAGGCCTCTAAGGAAGTAATTAAGGTCAAAGGAAGTCCTAAGAGTAGGGCCCTGATCTGTTAGGACTAGTGTCTTCCTAAGAAGAGACATCAGAAAGGCGCTTTCTCTCTTTGCATGCACCAAGGCAAGGCCATGCAAACGCGTTGTGAGAAGGCAACCATGGGCAGGCCAGGAAGAGAGTTCTCACCAGAAACCAAATTGGCCAGAACTTTGATCTTGGACTTTTCCAGCCTCCAAAATAGTGAGAAAATAAATGCTTGATGTCTAAGCCACCCAGGTGATGGTATTGTGTTAAGACAGCCCTAGCGAACTAATCCAATCTTCCAGAGCTGTGTGAAGTAAAAAAAAAAAAAAAAAATCCAGTGCCAAGATGGGGTCTTTACTTAGTGAATATAATGAACTCTGAAAAGTGAGCATTTCGGACCTAGAGCCTTTATCCCTGACGGTACCTGTGTGGTCTCTACTATTAGAGGAAGCCTTCTTTTCTGGCTGGAAGACTGGAGCAGCTGTCTATGGGAAGAAGGCTATGGTTGGTCAGGGTATTTCTCTGTGGGATTGTGTGGGCAGTTAGCACATTCTCTCTGTTACTGTCTCCGTATGTGAATTGGTTGATGTATGTACATGAACATCTCCCATTAGATGGGGGGGATATCTTCAGGCAGATCTTACTGAGTGCCTACCTTGGGGAGAGGACGGTAAGGCAGGCATGGCTCTCACAGTTCACCTGGCAAGACACAGTGGTCAGATGGTTATTGAATGTGGTGGAAGGTGAAGAGTGATGTTGAAGCTGAGACCTGAAAGATGAGTAAGAGTTGTTCAAGCAGAGGGAACGGCATCTTCAAAGGCTTGGAGTTGGGGAGCAAGAGTAAATTGAACATCAATTCAAGAGTATAGTAAGCTCAGGTTAGTGAAAGGGAGGCGTGATATACTTTAAAGATTTTCAGTTTTGTCCTGAAGGTGAAAAGCAACTGTAGGATTTGAAAGAGTTAGGAGTGGGAATGGGAATCAAACTTGCATTTTAAAAGAGAAACTGGCAATTGGATGGCCTTTTGGGGTCATCTTTAATCCCTAAGTCAGTTGTCCTCCTCTGTGCATGTGAGCGTTGCAAGTTCTGACTGCAAGTAGAAAATGCTTCCATCCCCTCATGGTATGTTATGGGAGCAGACGGTGGGGGACAGCGTAGGGATATTGGAGCAGCGCAGGATAAGATGGGGACAGATTTGAAGGCGATACCTCCAACCCTGGCTTTGCTTCTCTCCGAAACCTAAACCCAAATTGTCTTTTCAGCTTCTCTCCTGGGGACCGCATCACCTAAGAACATAGTTATTTGACTTCACACCATGTGGTGTCCAAACAGAAGAAGCCCTTGGAACTGGGAACTCTTATTCTGCTCTTCTCTTTTGCTTTCCAGCCATTCTCTCGGCAGAGTTTGGCTTAGTTTGGAGCTGATGGCCCTAAGCTGAGACAGAGCTGCCACCCCAAGAGCCAGCCCTGGGCTGGACATTGCAGCTGCCCAGGAAACAGCTGGTTAAGCCCTCAGCAGCTGCAGCAGCTGGGATTCCACCCAACATTTGAGCTGGGATTAATCCCATTTCCTCCACACACATCCCTTCCCTGTTCTAGTCCCTGACTAGTCTATAGTGTATCTTGGAGGTTTTGAGGCTAAATGTCACAAGTCTGTCCATGAACTAAGCTAGAGCCAAAGTCATCCATGTTCCTCTTAGAGGAAGCTGATCCAAAGCACCTTTGGACCAGCCCAGGAAGGAGGATGTGGGTCTCTGCCACACCCACCCTCCTTTCCTTCATTCTCTCTATTCTCTGATAAGTGGGCTAGGATGGATTATTCTTTGACTTGTCTGATTTTCAATAACCGTTAGAATTGTCTAAAGAAGAAGGGACTGCTTTGGTGGGATGAGGAAGTAGATTTCCTTTATCTTGGAAAAACTCTATACCAAGACCTAGAAACTTGGTGGGAGTGTTACAGGAGGATCAGACCTCATAAGGGTGGTTGTCACTTTTCAACGG